ATTAAAAACATTTTTGCAGGTCCAGGTGCTTCTTGTTGTTTTCCAACAAATTCTTCCAGAATTTCAGAGCTTTCTCTTTATCAGGCTTTTCATTTGTTGTTACTCCATCTCCACTTTCTAAGCTTTTATAAAACTGGTGCTGAAAGACAGTGAAGAACTGGAGTGCACCTGGACCTGCAAAAATGTTTTTAATTCATGTTTCATGATCATTTCCTCTTTCCTCTTCTGTTTAACATGGAATAGATCTTCTTTAGGGAGATCAAATTCAAATGGGGAAAGATTAAAGCCCTTTATTATATACTGATGACGTGCTCTCTTCTCTTCCCTTTCTTTTCCTTCCCTTCCTTTCTTTTTTCCTTTCTTCAGCTCAACTATTTTGTGAGACATTTCTTCTTTAATAATAGTGTTGGGGAAACACTTTACTTCACTCCAAATGAGAAACTGGAAACTGGATTTGATATTATCAATTGGGTTATATTCCCCAACCAATCCTTCTTTAGAGTGAAAGTTGGAGAGCTACGACCCCTGTCTTCTAATGAAGAAATGTTTACTATTTCAGAGAAAACCATAATGTGGACACACAGGTTTAATCAGGTAGGCTCATAGTGCCCTCTTCCTCATATGCATGGCAATGTGCCTTCTACCTGTTTTTAATTTGGGAGGAATGTATCATATTTTTGAAGTATAAGACACATTGGAGTATAAGATGCATCAAGATTTTGAAGAGGCAAATAAAAAAAAGTTTTTACACTCTGCAGACCTCCCAAAAATGGCCCATTTTACACAAAAATGGGCCAGTTTTTGGTCAAAAAAGGGCATGTTTTTTCGCTCATTTCTGCCCTCCCCAGCACCCAGGAGCACTCTGAAAGCCTCCTAAAGGCTATGCACAGCCATTTTGGTGAAGGGGGTGGGGTTTGGGGAGGCAAGAAATTCTGTATTCAGTGTATAAGATGGACCCAGATTTTCAGCCTCTTTATTGAGGGAAAAGGTGTGTCTTATATTCCAAAAATACAGTATATTAATATGAATAGTCTGTCTCGAATCCACACTGTATATCGGACATTAATACAATTGAGCGAGTCCAAAGGTATTTTACGAGAAGAGTACTACACTCCTCTGCTCACAATAGAATAACTTATGGCACTAGGTTTGAAATTTTGGGCTTGGACACCCTAGAACTACACCGACT